AAGCTTAGAAGTTTTCATGCAGGCCCTCACATCTGTACCCTAAAGTTCAGAGTGGGGAAGCAGCCTTGACAGTGTGCATATCCATTCTTTTTCCATCTTAAGATATAACTTGCTCCTTAATTCCAAAGATTTGACTGTTCACAAGTTACGACACTATAAAGGCCACTGAAACTGATTTCATTTAAAGCACTGTAATATCAATTCTTCCAGCTTAATCAAATGTGTATAAACAATTTGGATAAGTATTAATCATACAGTTATTTATTTCAATAATGTAAATTTTTGATTTATAAATATTTTCAGTACCCACTGCATTAGCAAGAGGATGTCAGCTTAGTCATTTCCCCTGGTGGAATGAGAGGATTTGATAATCATTATTGTTCTAAAACTTTGTATTGGCGCTCCTCGGAAAGCAATAAATAAATAGATGTGACTCAGTATGTGACTGTGGATGGAAAATTGTTCTCTGCTTTCTGGTAAGTAGTAATGACAGCCCACCAGAAAATTATTTACAGATTCTAAAGCAGATCACAAAGAACTTTGACTCACTTTTTTTTTTTGTGAATGACAGCATTAAGAATGTAACCCCTCTTAACTCTGCTATACCCTGCTAGAATATAATTCACTCAGAACAAGAGGACGACATTGACAGCTTTCTCCAGGAACTTGTTTCACACCTACAAGTTTTTTTCTTCTTATCTCAGAGATTACATAGCACATTTAAGCAATATTCTGCATTAATCTAACCTCTGCCATTTGGACCACATTAACACACCAAGACAGGTTTATGTACCTCACACGTCAGACCCTATCAAGGAACTTGGTAGTGGCGGTTTGATAAGGACACCATACCCTACTGAACTTGTTCTAAAAATGACAGCAGCAAAACACTCATCTACTCTCACTTTTTAATGACCTTGTTGTCCCCTTATTTAGTTGTGTTACTAACTGCTTTACTGTATGTATGTGCAACTTAGAAATTTATATGACCAAAAATGCCATATTCCCTGGAATTTCAGATATATTTTTCTTTTATACACACTTCCATGATGTGCTAGAGAAATCAGCGTGATGTACAGTTAGTTAAATTTGCAGCTTCCGCTGGTAGCTTTAAGGTCACTACATGCTAGATGTAAAGTCTTTAAAAACAAGAGTCTGAGATTAGTTTTGCAATTTCTGTATCTCAATATTGAGATAAATAAATAAACCTTCAATAGTGACAAATCAGTAGAGAAGATGAAATTAGAGGATGGGTACTTTGTAATAACTACTTTTCATTCTGGGAGTCTAAGCTTCTTATAAACATGTGATTTAAATTATTGTTTTTTTCCCCATATTAATTGCTCTTTAAATTTGGATTCTAAAATGTTCTCAAGCTTGTGAAATAACATTTCCAAACTTGTAGATTATCATGTCTTTCCAAGTCATTTTTTGGATATGTTTCTCAAGATGAAGAAAATTTAACCACACCCTCAAATTAAATTTTGATTGAGTTTCAAGAGAGCTGGGAACATTGTACACTTTGTGCTGGAAGTCTGGAATTTTTAAATCTATCTTCTGAACTTTGTGATACAATGAAGAACCCAATTGCTTAACTAAACAAAAAAATCAATCATCTGTAAATGGATTTAATCTTACCATTTAAAAAAATTAAATCTTAAAAAGCCTGTATAGCTGGTGGGAATAATTTTTTTTTCATTCCTTAACATTTTCATTTTGGCAAATATCTTTTCTTCACTGTCTTGAAAACATACCTTCTAATTACACTATTCTCAATATTTAATTGCTATACATTGATTAAAATGATGACCAAAACTATTATATATTTATTAAAATTTCAAAAGTGTTTAAAGAGAGCTTGGATTATGTACTGAGAGCACTTGCTTATTTTACTGCACAATTCATAAAACAAATAAGATAGCTGTATTTCAAAATCAGACAACAGGTTCTTGAGAGATTCCTTTTCACACTTGTAAAGTGATATTTTTAGGAACCACAGCTATTAAAGGGACGATACTTTATTACACTTTCCAAGCCAGCTCTGGATAGTTTTACATTCATTTCATCTCCTTTCTTTTTTCTCCCGCATTATCCTTTTGCTTTGTTCTCTTCTCCTCTTATTTACAGGATTCCGAGGATCATAGATTTCAAAAGTGTCTTCATCCTGCATGTTTGCATCTTTCACTTTTCTGCTTCTGTCCTCAAACTGAAGTACATGTGACAACCTAAAAAAAAAAACCAAAAAAAACCAAATCATAATTCAAACTCACTGAGTGAAAGAAGTGACATTAGAAATTGTAATTACAATATCCCTGGCAAAATGTACTGTTGTGAGATGGTCATCAAATGCAAAAATGAATTTACTACCACTTCATATCACAGGGTAACTACTTTTATTTTCAAGTTTAAATGTTCTCATATCAATGTTGTCTGATGGGCTTTTATTTCTAGTATCGAGTCCTTTTGTCTTGTTTCTATTTGATGCACCTTCCCAGATGAGTTAAATATAATCTTTCCAGAAACTGGGAGTGTTTTTCAAGTTTTCCTATTAGTCACTATGGAGTTTCCTTTTAATACCTATGGTCAGCATGATTGTAGGCCTATTTCTATTTTTGCATTGAAAACTCCTACAGTAAGTTCAGGGAATGCATTCTACGGGATCACAACCTTTAAGATTAAACAGGGAATGCGTCAGTCCTCCAGTTCCACTTTAAACTGAACATGCTTCCTCATTCATAAATAGGCTTGGAAGGCTCAGATTTTTATTGGTAAATGTTGGTAAACCCAGATTTCACCATACAGACAAACCCATGACAAAATGTTTCCATTGATAATCAAAATTTACAATAGACAAAGTCAGAAAAATGCTGCTTGAGAACTTAGGATTTGATTTAAGAATATTTACTCTGTATTATGATGTGATTTTGACAGTTTGTGTTTTAATGCTTATAAAGCTTTAACTTTTTGCATTTCAAATTCTACGGTCATTAAATAAATATTGTCTGACTCCCTTTATTTCTCACGACCATGAAAACTTAAATGGATAAAACTGAAAAAATGCATACATAAAATGGATATTATCTATCAAAATTATAAAACATAAAAATTGAATTCTGCCAAGCCTTTTCTTAGATTAAACTCTAATGCTGCTCTTCAAGCCAACTTTTTCTTTCTACTGTTGATTTGAAATCTTGACCATACTAGTAGTTCTCCATTTAATAAAATTCCCAGTGGTCTGAAAATATCAACATGTTCTGGAGTCATAGATATCTTGTTGGCATACTCAGTGGCAGGAAAGCCTGAAGTTGATCAACTCTGGCCTTATTAGTAGGTGTCACTGAAGTGGGAATTAGTATGGAAGATGTCAGAAAACATGAAATTTTAGGCTAGCCAAAATAAAATCTTTAAGGGAATAAAATTCAGTTGTTCTACTCTACTGAAAAAAGACAAAACAAACCATGCATACGTACGACAAATTTATCAGTTGTAAAACAATGATTTGTACTGACATGTCAGATACTTTTCCACCTTGCAACATGCTGAACTGGATGCGATTTAACTTTATATACTTAAGCGTGGCTATTGATTGTAACATTTTAAATGAAAAAACCTCCACTCCATTAAGAGAGATTTGCTATGTAAAACTGCTATTTTAGAATCGGTTCAAAAGACAACTTTAAAATTTGAAAGTTCCATACAAAAGGTGACAATGTCATTTGCATTCAATGTATAAGAATGAATATAATAGTGGAGTACACTTAAATCTGATATATAAATGTTGTGTTCTGTTTCCTATCTATGGATCCAGTTCTGCAACCACTATTAGTTCACACTTCTGTGAGTAGTCTCATTTAAGTTTTTGGGCACTACTGGCAGCAGCAAGAACTACACTTAAAAGTAATGGCTTCTCTGCATGGGCACTTTAGTCCATACTAACTTGTGTTAGTGAGGATTGAAAAAGCCTGTGTACATGTGATGCAAACCTTTAAAGCACACCCTCTCCCTAGTTGGTGCAAGTTCTGGAGCCCTGTTATCTAAGTGTACTAAATTTGATGCGAATTAAGTTAGTGCAGATTATTGCTCATGTAGACAGAATGCTGCTGCAGACAACTTTGATAGTCCTCCAGCAGCTTTACAATAGTCCTCAAGCAGCTGCTTGCAGTTGTAGTCAGGACCTTGATAATCTAGCCATCTGGGGAGAAATGGGGGTGCAGGCAGCTTTTGTGGTCAAACACTACAATAAGAAACTGTTAGAGGAAATCTTAAAACAGATGGTTGAAAAGGGTCACTACCGAGACGCCTCTCAGTGCTGTATAAAAACCAAACAGCTAAGACAAACATACAAAGACAGCAAGGATGACAGAAGAAGATCCATCGTTGGCCATTTGACCTGTCCATTTTTTAAGGATGTGGAAAGGCATTTTTAGCTCACATGACGGCCTTGCAGAGACTCAATGCAAGAGCACAAGTCGGAGGAGGATGACAATGAGGAGGACAAAGAAGATATCTCCCTGAACAGCCAGGATCTCTTCAGAACTTGGGACCCAGAAAGTGGCCATACAGGAAGCCAGCCCAATTCCCAGTTTTGGACACAAGAAGAAGAACCTACAGAGCCTATCAAGGGGACCTCGGCATGTAAGTAATTGTCCATCTTGTTGTTATGTTTTACTGCTCTGCTAATTTCTTTTCCAAGTGCCCCATGGCTACTGCCATTTTGTGCGGATGTGACCTGGGGGCCTTTCAGAGTTTTTGGCCCAATCACCCAGCCATACTCCCTCTTCCAAACCTGTCCCCCTTCATTCTGTCCTCCCAACATATTTACGAAATGGCAACTGGGCCTGCAAGGCAATCTGTCACATCCTGAGGCCCCAATCGTCAGCTCTTTTCAAACCCATGCCATGCCACGAAATGGGGGCACTTATCCATCTACTAATTCCCTTCTCTCTCCTGCCCAGTGATCACAGCCCTATCCCCAGCCTCTGGATAACACAGGGTATTGGGAACACCAGCAGATGTTCCCATCTGTAGCCCTGCTCCTGTGCTCCCATGGTCATTCCCCGCCCCCGCACAAGCACAGGGCAGTGATAGCACCATCATGTGGAAGCTCAGCATATTCAAGCTATTCAATCCACTTGGCAATGTTGAGCCCTAACACTCAATCTCAGAAGGACAAGCAGCAGCAAAGATAAGATGTTCACTCATCTGTGAATAGGAACTGCCCCCATCCACCACACTTTATTTGAATTTTGAACTTTTTCAATTTAAATCTGTTTGTTTACAATTGTTAGCAAAATGTGTAATGTATTTCATCCTTGGCAGTTACATACTGGCATATATTGAGCAATAAAAAAACCTGAAAATTACAAAGAATCTGCAATCCTAGCATGGTACACACAATAAGTACAAATTTTCATAGGTAATACAAAGAACAACAACATAGGCTCAAGATAAAGAGTGCGACAACATGCCACTTTTACCACCCAAAAAAGCAACTCCAGTGCTCACAATTCAACACCCTGCCCCACCATCCCTCAAACAACTGCACATCTTCAGGCACCAAACTCCAAGTAAGGACAAAAAGCATTTCTGACAGCATTAACCTGGTGGTTTACACTTTTCAGTGGATGCCTTAATGGTTGCCCATGGTGTTCAGCAAATCTCTGTACCTCCACCTCCCATTCATTGTTAAGACTTTCTCCCTTTCACAAATATTGTGCAAAATACAACCCACAGCTATTCTCCTAGGCAGGTTTTGTTCTGCAGCTTCTAACCCAGTCATAAAGACAGCACCATATAGCTTTGTGACTGCCCAACACACACTCCACTGTCATTCTGCAACTACTGAGGCGATAGTTAAACTGTTCCTTTTCTTCTCTCCAATGGCCTGTGAGCAGCTTCATAAGCTAGAAAAGCAGATAATATGCCAAGGTCTCTCACAAAGACTGGAGCAATCTCTACACCATTATTGTTCATAGTGATCCTGGGGGCAAACTTTCCACTATTCATTAAAGGTAACCTGATGTGAGTTCGGAAAGATCCTAGCATTGTGGACCTTTCCAAAACACCCAGCATTTATGTGGCAGTTGACCAGGCCTTGGAGAAATAGTCTTTTCTGTTTATAACCTCCAAGGTCTGATGCGGCAGGGAAAAGATAAGCACTTGGCTCCCCATCAATTGCTCCAATACAGTTTGGGAACCCCACATGTGCAAAACCATCAATAATCTCTTGAGCACCAAGCTGTATAACCTGGTTCAACAATACCTTCTGCACAGCAGTACACACCTTCACGACAATGGCCCCAACAATCAATCTCCCCACGCTGAATGGTTGGCAATGGACCAGTTAACAGTCAGGAGTGGCTGTCTTCCATATGGCAATGGTGACATCTTCTCAACCGGTATGGGATGCCACATGTTGGCATGCTACTACTGCAGCCCCAGGGCCAATTCAGCACAGATCTCCAAAAAGCTGCCTTCACCACCCTGAAATTCTGTCGCCACTGCTGGTCATTCCAGGTTTGAAGAAAGATTCTCTGCCACCAATAAATGCTGGTTTCCCGGGCCCAGAAATGGCGCTGCACTGTGTGAAGCTGCTCCAGGAAAAGCTTGTGTAGTAGCAGTTCCTCATTGGTGTCCCCCCTCCTCCTCCATCCCCTGCTGCTTCTGGAGGAGCCACTGTTGTAGCCACATCATCTGCTTGATGGCATGGCAGCTGAAGTCCAAAACTAAAGCCACCCAATGCCAACTGCTTATATAAAGCACAAACAGCCTTTGCCTATTTGCAGCTGCCAGCATAGCATATCTGCAGAGCATTCTTTCATCCATGCTTGCCAACAGGAATCTCAACTCAGTGCAAACTAAGTTCCCATATAGACAAGTGCTAAGTGTTTACAGGATTGTGTAACAAGGCTGTTCATGTTTTTAGTAATTTGTATTCATTAGCATGTGTTTGGGAAAGACATGAAATCTTTAAAAAATCAGCATCAGTATGAAAGTTTAATCACAGGAGGAAATATTGTCTTATCATGCTTATATAACATACTAAAACCTGAATGAAAGAAGCCATTTTCCACAAAAGCTTGAAGCACAAACCTGAACATGTAACACTTTTTATGGATAACTTCTCTATAATCACATCTAATTTTCTCATTTAATAAAAATGAAAATGTTTTAACTTGTTTTTCTTTCAACATGTTTGTCTTTAAAAAAACAACAACAAAACATC